TAAGAATATTTATATCAGGAATTGATATATGTTTATCAGTAATAAAAGAATTAAATACCCAATTGATGATGTCAATAGTAACTGTTTTCTATTTAACAATTTTAGTCCAGAAATAAGATTATTATAATCAGGATTTAGTTTGTTTTCTTCATATATTAGATAATTTAATTAAGTTCTTGGTTTATTTTAACATTCTAAATTTCAGGAATTAGCAAGTTCAAGTCAGAAATAAGATTGGTATGATCAGGAATTATATATTATTAGTCAGGAATTAAAATGGTTAAAAAATATATCTCAATTAGGTAAAACATTGTTTAAATTAGAATTTATATTACTTTTAACAGGAATAACATTATTTTTGTCAGGAATGTGTTATTTTTTGTCAGGAATTAATTTTTTATTGTCAGAAAATAAGGTATCAGTTTCAGGAATAATGTTGTTTTATTCAGAAATTATTTAATTTTTATCAGGAATTAGAATATTGAGTGTCTTTTATGTTGGATATGTTATTATATTTAACTCATTCATTTTTTAAACTCAATTTTTTTTATCGGGCTGTGAAAAAGAAAATGATGAAATTTGGTCGTGACTTGAAGATTGTATCAGATAACCAAATTCACTTTGCTACTAACTTGAAGGATGAGGCAATAAAAAGTTCACAAGAATTTTAATCTCAAGGAGATGATGATATATATTCCAATCCACAATTCTTAGCTAAAATTGATGAAATAGTGTTAGCTGCTATGAAGAGCAAAGAGTTAGCCACTGAATTGGATAATTTTGATCTTAAACTTAAGTCTAATGAAATTGTAAGTTTATTACCTTTATCTTTATTTTTTATATGAAATTTAACTTAATTTTTATTTTTGATATTAATGTTTATTTTATACAGGTGATGAATAATGTTATTGCTGATCTTGATTTGTCAAAAGTCTTTAGTCAAGATATACCTAAAAGTGATAAATTAGAAGATAGAAATGAAGAAAAAGAATCTGAAGAAGAAGAAGAATTTGATGTACCTGAAACTGGTATCTCTGAACAGATACCAGAGAAAAATGAAGATGAAGCTGATGTTTCAATTGGTTCAGAAGCTGTTTTTGTTCATCAAGGACCTGTCGCTGATGTTTCACTTGGTGCAGAAGTTTCTGCTGTTGACAAAGTAACTGATGTTGCTGTTTCAGATGTTGTTGAAACTACTGCTGTAAATTCTGAACCTGTCACAGCACCAGGTGAAAATGTGGTTAGTTCAGTTTGTAAGGAGGGTGTTCTTGGTTCTTCAACATCACCTCCTAGGACACCAAGGAAAGCTAGGGGACTCAATGAAGTTTATTCTGCTGGTTTGAATGATAATCAGGCTAGGATTGTGCAAGAAGGTAGGAGTTTTTCAATGGGAGATCAGTCTATGCCAAAATTTAATTTAATTACCCCTACTCCTCCTTCTCCTCAACCATCAAAGGAGAAAAATGCAGAAGTTACTGAAAAAGAAAATCCGGTAACTGTTGAAGAAGAAACAAAAGATGACAAAGATGATGACAGCACATCTAAGGTCTAATATTTGTATTTTATTTGAATAATTTATTAAAATACTAGTAATTATTGTATTAAAATTGAATATTTTATATAAATAAATTTATTTATTTTTTATTTCTGTTATACATATGTTTTCAGGTTTTTACTAAATCTGATGATGTTGGTCAGAGTAAAGTTACAGAAGAACATCAATCACCTATTGATGTTGTGAATCAGGTAATTTTTTTTGTTAGTTTTTCACGAATTAAATTATTCTGGTCAGGAATTAGATTTATTTTGTCATATATTATATAAGTTTTGTCAGTAATTGAAATATTTTTGTCAGGATTTAAAATATAGTTGTTGGATTTTTAATTAGATTTATTGTATTAGGAATAATTATATTTTAGTCAGTTATTAGATGATTTGTGCAGGAAATGATAAAATTTTGTTCAGATGTAAATTATAACTCTAGTTGTTCATCAGGAATAAAGTTGTCATTGTCAGTTATTAGATTACCTCTATCTGTAGTAAGAATATTTTAGTCAGGAATAATAATTTTTTGATCAGAAATTTACTTCTTTTTTTCAAAATAATACATTCTTAATCAGGAAAAAGATTTATTCAATCAGCTATTAGATTAATTTTGCCAGTAATAAGAATATTCCTATCAGGAATTAGAAATTTTAGTTTATTAATTAATATAGGTTATTATTGTTTGTATTTAAGTTATTTGTTTTTTATTTTAATACATATTATTTTTTCTGTAAGAAGCTCAACCTAGAGATACAAATGAAGTTTTAGATTTATTGAGAAATAAATATGTTGAAACGGAAACGGTTGCTAATGAATCTATTCCAACTGAAGTTGTAAAATCTCGTAGTGCTCCTCATCCTACCCTTATTGTAACAGATAAAACTCCTACTCCTATTGCTGCTTAATTATCTCAAGATGAGTTTATGGAAATAGGACCTCAGCCTCCTAAAACTCACATTCAGTTAATTGATGTGAACAAATTTCCTACTGATAAACATGTCCCTCCTGAAATTAAATTTATTGCTGCTGATGCATATGCTAAAAAAAAAAAGCTGAGAGATTGCAATATCTAAGAGATAAACAGCTGTTGGAATTGCAGGATAATTTGGAAGCATCTAGTTTGGATTCAGATTGGGTAGATCCCCCTATTGCTAAGATTCCGATTCAAAATCGAGAAATGATTGTCTCTAGGAGTTTGCAGGAAAATAAGTCTTTGTATCTGAAAAATTTAACTGAGCATGAAAGATATATGTGTAAAATTCCTCTTTTTTAGAAAATACGATGAGTTGTATGAGTTAGATCCTACAGGAGAATATGAGGGAGTTAAGGCGCGTAACAACAGTCTGTATGTGCAAGATACAGGTGATGTTATCTGTTAGTTTAGAACTGAAGATCTTTCCCAAAGCGATATTATTTTGGTGAAAGAGGAGTTTTGTTCGGTGTGCCCCTCTGTCTGGATTAATAGTACTATTCATGATACTTGGGCTTCTGCTTTGAATCTTGAAGAGAGCCAAATAGCTGACAGAGGAATATTTCAGTACAAAAGATTTGTTTTTTTTACTGGAGTTGCTGTAAGTTTTTTATTTTATTTTATTTTTTTTATCTTTACTTATAATGTTTAGAATTTTTATGTATATAAAATAATATATGTTTCAATTTTTTTTGTTTTGTAGGACTCTGTACAGAGATATTTAATAAAGAGAGAAAATTACAAAAAAGATGTCAAGAAGATAAAAGAATAGGAAAATTTTTTGAATTCTTTGGAAAATAATCCAGAAGAATATGCAACTTTTAAGGAGAAGTTGAAAAAATTAGAGCTCAATATGGAATTGAAAAAACATGATGCTAATGATGTTTATGCTTCCATTGAAAAATGGGTTGATCGTTTTCCAAAGTTAAACATAGCAGAAGCAGAGTTGGTAAGTTATTAAATTTATTTTGTTGTTTTTACTCAGGTAATATATTTTTAAATTCAAATACTAGCTTTTATAATCAGGTATTAATCTAATTTTTTTCATGTATAAAGATATTTAATATAGTAATTAGACAATCTTAGATTTTAGAGTGTTGGATTAACATTACAACATTTTATCATGAATTTGATTATTATAATCAGGAATAAGATTTTATTAATCAGGAATTACTATGCTTAGTCAGATATTAGATGATTTATATCATGTATTGTTGTATTTTTTCAGACTTAACAATTTAAGTCTTAAATATTATTATTCTATTTAGGAATTAAGGTATATTGATTAGGAATTAAATTTTAGTCAAATATTAATAATTTATAGTCTAAGAGTTCAACTTTTGGATTTAACATTGTCAAGTTTAAGATAATATATTATTATTATATTTAGTCAGAAATTATATTATTATAATCAGTAATTAGATATTTTTAGTCAGGAATTATCAAAGATTTCAATATTTTGTCAGGAATTATATTATTATAATTAGTAATTAGATATTATTTGTCAGGAATTATCAAGTATTAGATTATTTATGTCATTTATCATTCAGTCAGACATTGTAATATAAAACTCATATAAAACTAGACTCTTATGATTTATAAAATTAACAGATAAAAATATAAAAGTTTAAGTCAGGTATTGGTCTATAACTTATAATAATTTATCTTTATTTTTTTTTGTTTTATTTTTGCCGTTAATCTTTCCCATTTGGTACAAAAATCACTATACTCTGATGGTTTTCAATCTTATTCCTGATATAACTCCACGTATAGATTGGATAAATAACAGGATTGACATTGATCGATCTGACTTGGATTTAATTGATAAGTATTTGGTAAGTTTTTTTTTTCTAGTAACTATTTCATTTTGTTTCTTAAATATTACACTTTTAGATGTTTATATATATAAATATATATATTTATATTTATATTTACAGATCAGAGCTGTTCATCGTTTTTTGCAAAGTAAAGGAGATCCTTTAGCGGAAATAGTTCCTGACTTGTCATGGAATACTCCAGTTTTTACTAGGAAAACTAGCACCGAAAATTATGATTGTGGGCTTTTTGCATTAATGTGCACTAGGCGAAAATTGCTAATGGCCACCGGTTGAAAACCCCCCATTGCCACCGGTTTTGAACCGGTGGTCATTTGGGGGGTGGCAATAAAGCGTCGCATGGCCACCGGTTCAAAACCGGTGGCAATAATCTTCATGGTCATCGATTAACCGGTGGTAATAATAATTATGGCCACCGGTTAACCGGTGGCAATAAAAAATGGCGCGTTTTTTTTTGCTGCTGAAGGCTGACTATTGCCACCGGTTTGAACCGGTAAACCGGTGGCAATAAAAGGATCTAATTTTTTTTTTGCCTGCAATTATTCCTGCAATTGATCCTGCTATAATATTCTGCCATATTATTGCTATAAATTCTTCCATAATATAATTATTATTAATAAACATAACAAGAATTAAAAATATATATTTAGACTTTTATAATTAAAAACCAAATGCAATACAACAAATTAAATAAAGTGTGATATATAAATAAATACAAACAATACTAATAACTAGTCAATATTGTAGTTTAAAAGTTAATAATTAACAAAGTATAAATTCAAAATGATGCCACATTTACAAATTGAAGGTGATGAAAGATGCCAACATGTCTCGAACTTCATTAAGCTCCTTGCTTGTTAACGGATCTCCCTTTTGCACCTTGCAAAACTTGGAATATATATAAATTATGTTAGAATAAATTAAATTAATATGTAAAAAAATTAAATATTTGGGAAAATTAAAAACAGTCGCATTTTCATCCAAAATAGCCAAAATAAGGCCTATTTGACTTCTACTTGTCCATTTTCTACATTTTTAAATAAATGACCAAGTTCTTTCTCATAACATGTCAATTATACTTAGTTATAGGTGGCTAAGCCTTGAAATCACAGAAAAATGGCATTTTACTAAGTTTAAGGTCGCATTTTCATCCAAAATAGCCAAAATAAGGCCTATTTGACTTCTACTTGCCCATTTTCTACATTTTTAAACAAATGACCAAGTTCTTTCTCATAACATGTCAATTATACTTATTTATAGGTGGCTAAGCCTTGAAATCATAGAAAAAGGGCATTTTACTAAGTTTAAGGTCGCATTTTCATCCAAAATAGCCTAAAAAGGCCTATTTGACTTCTACTTGCCCATTTTCTACATTTTTAAACAAATGACCAAGTTATTTCTCATAACATGTCAATTATACTTAGTTATAGGTGGCTAAGCCTTGAAATCACAGAAAAAGGGCATTTTACTAAGTTTAAGGTCGCATTTTCATCCAAAATAGCCTAAAAAGGCCTATTTGACTTCTACTTGCCCATTTTCTACATTTTTAAACAAATGACCAAGTTATTTCTCATAACATGTCAATTATACTTAGTTATAGGTGGCTAAGCCTTGAAATCACAGAAAAAGGGCATTTTACTAAGTTTAAGGTCGCATTTTCATCCAAAATAGCCTAAAAAGGCCTATTTGACTTCTACTTGCCCATTTTCTACATTTTTAAACAAATGACCAAGTTCTTTCTCATAAAATGTCAATTATACTTAGTTATAGGTGGCTAAGCCTTGAAATCACAGAAAAAGGGCATTTTACTAAGTTTAAGGTCACATTTTCATCCAAAATAGCCAAAATAAGGCCTATTTGACTTCTACTTGCCCATTTTCTACATTTTTAAACAAATGACCAAGTTCTTTCTCATAACATGTCAATTATACTTAGTTATAGGTGGCTAAGCCTTAAAATCACAGAAAAAGGGCATTTTACTAAGTTTAAGGTCGCATTTTCATCCAAAATAGCCAAAATAAGGCCTATTTGACTTCTACTTGCCCATTTTCTACATTTTTAAACAAATGACCAAGTTCTTTCTCATAACATGTCAATTATACTTAGTTATAGGTGGCTAAGCCTTGAAATCACAGAAAAAGGGCATTTTACTAAGTTTAAGGTCGCATTTTCATCCAAAATAGCCAAAATAAGGCCTATTTGACTTCTACTTGCCCATTTTCTACATTTTTAAACAAATGACCAAGTTCTTTCTCATAACATGTCAATTATACTTAGTTATAGGTGGCTAAGCCTTGAAATCACAGAAAAAGGGCATTTTACTAAGTTTAAGGTCGCATTTTCATCCAAAATAGCCAAAATAAGGCCTATTTGACTTCTACTTGCCCATTTTCTACATTTTTAAACAAATGACCAAGTTCTTTCTCATAACATGTCAATTATACTTAGTTATAGGTGGCTAAGCCTTGAAATCACAGAAAAAGAGCATTTTTACTAAGTTTAAGGTCGTACCTCATCAAGATGTATGGTGTTGGAACAATGAGTCGCTATGTCAAGCATGAATCTCATCACGTATAATCCACAATCAACTCCATTATCTTGTTGTGGGCACTAGAATAGGAACAAATCAAATGAATCAAACGTCACGTAAAACCCACAATTGTTTTAGCAATGTTTATTAAGATAATCACAATATGATGTGGCATTACCATAGGTGATTTCCATGTAGGACCCCGTGGAGCACGACCATGTATCTTCTTCATAATACTATAGGAAAGTAAATTCAAATTTGATTAGTTTGACTACTAAATGAGTTAGGTTAAGATAATCAACACTAGGTAGCTATATTTACTTTTGTAGTACAGACATCACGAGGTACTTCTTTGTTGATCGAGCTGAATCAAGGTGAAAGATTGTGTTATTAGCAGGACAAATCACCATGAGGAACCAATGAAACCTACATAAATTCACAATACACAAACAAATCAATAATTAGGTTACAACAAATAATTCAAATGTAGAAAGAATTGAATTACACATGGTTAAACGTACTCCTCATAACATGGGGCGAATATGAACTTTTCTCCCGCACGCATTGATTCCCGAATATTATGATTAACATAATACATCACCTCGGGGGAGTTGTGTAAGATTCTAGTCTCGGATGTCTGTTCGGGGCATAACCACCCAACTTTACTAGGGGAATTAGTGTCACTTAAGTGCTCCCGTTGGCTTCCCGTTGGAATCAGTGTCACTTAAGTGCCCCCGTTGGCTTCTGTCTCGGATGTCTTTTGTCATACTCCAACACCATGGGACCGGATGGCTTCTTAAAACTTGTTGTCGGACCCCTACCATTTCTCTTAGCTGGTGCCTTTACCCCCACTCCACCACCTGTGTTCAATTGCTCCTTTCCTTGGCTTTGAGTTTGAGGAGTAGTGTTCTCACCAACAATCTCAACAATTGTAGAATCAATAGCAGGCGCGCGTTCAGCTAAAATTTCAAATTCATCAAGCCTGCGCTCAAAAGCATCTTGTTCCTGATCTTCTGGCTCACCCAAATTAGTCTCCTTGTTGACATCATATGGCTCGTCCTTATCCTCATCCTCATCCTCATAGCCATCATCATCATCCTCCAAATCCTCTACTAGTGGGTCATAATCGTCCTCCATGAGTTTTAAACACCTGTCATTACAAACATAACACGATATTAGGTCCATAAGAGATAAAAATGTTGACATATAGGTCATAATACATGTTAGTATATAAAATATTAAATTCTATCATTTTTGATGCATATTGACGTAACTTGTTAATTTCTAGTACCGTTAACACTAAAAAAATTAAATTCTATCATAATATGTCAATTTTGAGATATACTTCATTCATTAACAAGAATTTGTGAAAATTTAGCAACTAAGATAACAATATCATACATTTTCCCTCCAACTATTCATAAAATTACCTAACTTCTGATTAAATTTAATAATACTTTTAATTGCTTACAATTTCAAATTAAATGGTATAGTACCTCATTCTAATATTCCTTCATTGTGGTCTGACAGCATATAACATGTCTGGTCGTCTATGTCATTTGATGCAATAGGTCTAGGAACAGTGAAAGGTTCTGAATCATTAAATGCATCGTATTCTTCCTCATCTTCAGTATCTCCAATGCCTAGGATTCTTCTTTTTCCCAGCTAGCACAATGGACCATCTTGAATCGACTGGGTCAGTTACATAGAACACTTGCTTAGCTTGAGAAGCTAGGATGAACGGTTCCGCACTATCATTCAAGTGCCCAAGATCTACAAGAGTAAAGTCATCATACTTGACATTACGCCTGATATTATCAACCCACTTACATTTGAAAAGAGCAACCGTGAAGTTACAATAATCAAGCTCCCATATTTCTTGAATTCGACCGTAGTATGACAATTTTGCATCGACAGGTGATTTATCCTTAGAACTTGCAAACTCCCTTGACGATGCCATAAGCATTACTCCATTGTTTTGGGTTGACGTAGATTTCAAATCCCGACCCTCTGTCCAAAAAGTGTACCCATTGATGTCATATCCCTCAAATGAGCGAACATCATCCCTAGGACCATAAGCAAGCCACCTTACTGTATCGGTGACACTATCATCCAAGCGACTCATCACTCGTTTACTAAACCAACTCACAAACCTCTTATTATGCAACTGCATTAGTGCCCTTTCACCTTTCGATGGAAATTCATCACGCAAACTATCCATGTGCTCATCTAAATATGAGTGAACATCAGCAACATGGTGCAACACATAAAGGTGTGCTTGTAAGAACTGATCTCGATCCGGTGACATTCGTTTCGACCCAATTGTGCCATGACCATCCAGTCTCCCTTCATGTCGAGAAGCAGGAAGACCAATAGGTTCATCAACGGCTAAATAGCCGGCCACAAAATTACCAATCTTCTCACTCACGGTCCCTTGAATCATGCTTCCTTCCGGATGAGCCGGATTCCTTACTTTATCTTGCAATGTGCCCATGTGTCTTTCAAAAGGATAGCACCACCTCAAGAAAACTGGACCGCATAACTTAATCTCGCGCACCAAATGAAGAATGAGATGCACCATTATGTCAAAAAAGGAGGGTGGGAAATACATCTCAAATTTGCACAAAGTCACAACTACATCCGTTTGCAAAGCATAAAGTGTAAAAGGATCAAGCACTTTGCTGCATATTGTATTGAAAAACGAACATAGGCTTGTAATAGCTTCTCTCACGTGCTTCGGTAAAATACCACGTATTGCAATCGGTAGAAATACTTGCATCAACATGTGACAATCATGGGATTTCATACTTGTCAGCTTCAGTTCTCCACTTAAGGATACAAATCTTTTCATGTTAGATGCGTACCCAGATGGAACCTTAATGCCGTAAAGACATGCACAAAACATCCGCTTTTCTACCCTTGACAATGTGTAGCAAGCCGGTGGTAAATACTTCTTCTCAAGCTTGCCTTTACCCTCATCTCTACTCTTTGAAGCATCCGCGGCCTTTCCCTTTCCCTTGATCTTCCCCTTTCATTTTTTCGAACCATTTACAGTTTCTTGTTCCGGTTCCTTTCCCTTTCTTTCCTTCCCCTTTGTAACCTTGTCTTGAGGCCACCATTCCGGAGGAATCCCGATCTCTTCCAAATCTAACCGTACACCCTTTCCATCCTTTGTTTTGCCTGAAATATTAAAAAGTGTTCCCACAAGAGCATCACACACATTCTTCTCTATATGTATCACATCTAGACAGTGCCTAACATCATGTTCTTTCCAGTACGGAAGCTTCCACAAAATTGATTCTTTTTTGAAAAGAGCTGTTGAGACCGGAGCTTTTTCAGATTTTCCAAACACTGTTCGTATACCCTTAACTCGAGCATAAACCTCAACACCGGTCAATGGCCTAGGCGCAGTCTCCTCTTCCACTGTCCCATAGAAAGCCTTTTTTTGCCTACGATACGGGTGATCACGCCTAAGGAACCTTCGAGTCCTTATATACACATCTTTGTGAGAATTCTTAAGGTATATGCTTGATGTTTCATCAATACATATGGGGCATGCTTTTTTCCCTTTAACCTTGTACCCACACAGGTTGCCATATGCAGGGAAGTCATTCATGGTCCACATAAGGGTTGCACGCAATGTGAACACCTCGTTCTTATGAGCATCAAAACAAGAAACCCCTTCGTCCCACATATTTCTCAAATCGTCAATTAGTAGCGTAAGGTAAACATCTATGTCATTTCCAGGTTGCCTAGGCCCCATTATTAGCAATGAAAGCATTATATACTTCCGTTTCATATATATAACCAAGGAGGCAAATGGTAGATCACTAAAAGAACCGGCCAAGTGCTGTGTTGGGTACTAAGAGTGCCAAATGGATTCATCTCGTCTGTGCACAACCCAAGTCTTAAATTTCTGACTTCATTACCAAACTCCAGAACTTCAAATCAATGTTCTTCCATTGCGGGGAGTCAGCCGGATGCTTCAGCATTCTGTTTTTCTTCCTTCCCTCGGCATGCCACCTCAAGTTTTTAGCGTCTTTTGGTGTTGAGAATAGACGCTTAAACCTTGGAATAATCGGAAGATACCACAACACCTTAGCAGGAGGTCCCTTCGTACCAGGATTGCAACTAATGCTCTTGTAGCGCGATTGCTTGCATCGTGGACACTCCTCTAATTGTTCATTCTCATTACGATACAAAATACAATCATTAGGACAGGCATGTATCTTCTTATACTCTAAACCAAATGGACACATAAGCTTCTTTGCATAATAGTAAGACGTAGGAATTTCATTCCCATCAGGCAACATCTCACTTAATGCGGTCAACAAAGAAGTAAAACTAACGTCCGTCCACCCATGCTTCGACTTAATGTTAAAAAGTGCTAGCACGGCAGAAAGTTTGGAGTATTTTTTGCACCCAGGGTACAAAGGCTTTTTGGAAGCCTCCGATAGTAATTCAAACACATCTCCTCTGACATTATGCAACATCTCATCCACTTCATTATCCTCGACCTCATCCACTGGATGATCCTCAACTCCATCCTCACCACTATCAATAACATATTCATCATTCTCCCATTCCTCGTCCACATGAATCTCATTGCTTTTATCATGCACATCATTCCCATGAAGATCCTCACTATACTCTCCACTTTCACCATGCCAAATCCACACATGGTATTTAAGTCTAAACCCACGACAAAGTACATGATCTCTAATGATTTCAACGCTATTGACCACCTTCACATTATTACAATCAACACAAGGACAGTATAGGCCTTCCTCACCAATTTTGCACTGATAAGATAAAGCCGTCTCGAAAAACTCTTGAACCCCATTCCAAAAATCCATTGTATCACGTCTACCATACATCCAACCACGATCCTTTCCCATTTAGTAAAGTGTCTCTAAACATATATAGCAACATATTATCAATAATGTACAATTGCTACATATCTTATGTAAATCAACTTCAAGTACACATCGTGAATATACCATTCATATAGTGAACAAATGCATGTTTCCAAAGTGTCCTTATCACTCCAACCTAATCCATCCTTGAATGTCTACTCTCACTAGTGAATGTATGTCAATTTTCCAATTTTAAGGAAAATCCGACAGCACTTCCCCCCAGTTCTCCAAGTACAAGATGTAGATAATTACTTACCCACATATGTACCCAGAGAACATGGAGAAGAAATGGACAACCAAGATGTTCCTTAAAATCGAAAAAAAAGACATACATTCACCACCTAAGTGAGAGTAAACATTCAAGAACAGTCCCAACCGGGGACTATTCAAGACTTTCTCCTAATGAGAAAGCCTTGAACGGGTATCTAGGCATATGATGATGCAAACATTCAACATATTATTGTAATTATTTATTATTAAACAAGACACAACTTGTAATATCATGAACAAACTTTTATCAAATAGA